TGGACTACGTCAGCTGGGATGGCGTCCACTTCTCCGAGGCTGCCAACCGTTGGATTGCTCATCGGATAATCAATGGTTCATTTAGTGAACCGCCTTTGCCCATTAAACACGCCTGCCATAAACCCTAGTTCTTGTCTAAATCATTCATGGAATTAACGGTAGGACCGTCAAAAAAATATTATCGAAGTATATTAAATATTATTGAACTTTAAGGTTTGTATTATTTTTATTACTTAATTTCAAATTGACGGGGTCGTATCATTAAATTTTTCCTTCTGAACTAATTTGAATTTTTTATTGAAAAATATGAATGACGAGAAGTATCATTTTAAGAAGATGAACAACATATTTTAAATTTGGTTTCGGACGATCGTTAGAGAAGATTAGATTATTAACATATTAAATTTTTAGATAAATTTATTATTTAAAATGAGTTTTCTAAAAAAATTAATCTGATGCGAAAAAAAACCTTTAGACGAACAACTCCTAATGTGTTGAGTATTCATTTGAAGTGATGAAAGGAAGCTAAAACCTATGTTTCACTGATAATACAGGGAAGGATATAGGGACGTGAAATGGTAATTTTTAAAATTACGCAGTACATGTATAGTGAATATAAATAAATTTTAAAATTGATAATTACTATAAAATCATATTATATTATACTCATATCTAAATTTATGTTTGCACTATCTTTGTTAAAATGGACATATCTTGAGTATATGATATTTTATTAAGACGTTTCAATGTGTTAAAAATTGTAACTAAAAGACGGTTCATACGTAAGAAGACATCTTATCCTAGAAATGTCTGGTTCTCATTCGAAAATTCGTAGTAAATCATATTTTTTATTATAATTTTAAGTTAAATCTAAAAAATAACATTGGGTATGCGAGTAACATCAAACATTTTTCTTGATACGTTCCTAGAAATTTCTCCGATGTACCCAACTAGTTCTAACCGTATCCTTTCAACATGAGACGGCCTTGGTACATAAATTGTACCCGTCTCGTACTCATCTCGGGGACATATTAGGTACTTGAAATGGAATTAGATTGACGTACGCATGCAGCATAGGCTAAAACAGGCCTGGGATTCATGGGACCAGCCGACCAGGCCGGTTTTTGAGGATGTTAGCAGTTCTGGTTGCTATAATTGTCTGTCTTCCAATTTCAAAGCTTCAATTTTTTCACTGAATCTCACTCTTCCAATGAAAACCCAGATTGAGGATTTTCGTTTTGGTTCCAAGTACGTTGTTGTTCTCATTTGCTTGCCAAGTATTCTTTTGCTTTCTTTAGTGTTTCATTCAACGATTCGTATTTTTGTTTGGTCGTTTGTTTAACAAAGTTTCATTTTTTTAATTGCATAATCATAAACACAACTGTATTTACGACCAGATTAAACTGTTTTGCCAATTACAAGACAAGATTTTGTTTCCAACCATAAATGGATTGTATTTTTAGCTCATCGATGATGTTAGTTAACCATATAAGTAAATTTTTAGTGGAACTTTGTTGGTTTTCATTCCCATCTTTTATGGCTTTCCCTGCTATTTAGCCTGTGAACAATGTTGAAAAAGAACGAAATCCAAACTTGTTTTTATCTCAGTTTGAAGATCAATCATCAAAATTCACCCTTTATCCGTCCCCACTAGTTCATAGTCGTCTAGAAAGAGTATCTTTCCGGTCGAATTATGAACTAGTGCCAAAGATTTAACAGTTAACCTCGATTGCATGATTCAAGTATTAGGTGAAATTGGTGCACGAAGAACAGCCGATTTTCAACGAGTCAGGCCGCCATAGAGCACGATTAGCTGAGATTTATCAGTCATTTTGGTTCGAAGCTCTACCTCGACGACAACATCTGGTGCGTTTTATCTTGAGCATAATGGGATGTTTATCTAATGTACAATGCCATCAGCCGAGATGTATCTACGACTAAGAAGGGTATGATAGGTGCTAATGTTCGATTTTTTTGGATATGTAATGTCATGATCAATTCATACTGCCTGTTTTGATCCTGGTAAACCATTTGCAGCACCAGTTTAACCTGCGGATTATCGGTTCGGTTTGAACGTCGAATTTGATGTTTCATCCTGGTAAGAGAAGACTAACAAGACCTTTCGCATAATGGGAGGTCCATTACGGAGGTATCACCTTTCGTACCATTCTCTACTAAAAGCTAGAGTGATTTTAGTTTCTTTTTATATCTTCTGCATTCAATGGCATTTTTATGAGTTTATACGGCATCCGATAACGTCTCCGTCGGGCTGCAGTGGTAATTTAATTAAACCAAATGAAACGATGAGGTTTATCCTAACGACTTTTGCCGGAGTTTTTTCCGGATTCCTTTTAGGAGCAGCCTTTCAAGTACTTCTAATGAAGGTACATAAACCACTCCCTGCAATCTTCCATTGCTAGTAAAATGGTTTTGTTTTGTTTCGTTACCCTTCTTCCGATGTCGTTTAACATCGAGTAACGAGCCTGTTTCGATATGTTAAAACTTCGATAGATGAATCCTGCATCCAGCTTCCCTTCCATGTATATCAAGGGCAGATATTCCTCTCTTTCAACACAATCATTGTTCAATGCTTTCAACTCTCTCAAGGGTAATAAGGTTGTCCCAATGGCATCTAACAAACACAAGGTGAATCCTCTTTGGTAGTATACGTCTCATTTCGATATGCATCATTCTCGGATGGCATCTCATCCTTACTGATTATATAATTCAACTTCCTTCTTGCCGGCGTAAAATTAGATCGTCATCGATAATTAGTGTAGCATTTTCGAAGGAAAATCGATGAACGTTGACACTTGCAGTTTTAGCCGGCACACTAACTTTCAATCCTTAACCGTGGCAGATATGGGTTCCAACGAACCCAAGGGGTGCTGAAAGACTTCCGCTTCGAATAATTACTTCGGAAGCGGATTTTTATCTTCATCAACGGACAAGCCGAGTGAGGTATCCATCTTATACATTTTACCCTTCTTGGCCTCTTTTTTATGTTCCGTTTTCTGACTGATACATGTTGGAGAGTATGAACCGGTTGTCATCTGCATCGAAGAAAAAATTCGTGTTCGAATCGGGCCGCAAAAATTACTCCACTTTTTCCATTGTGACTCAATTCTTTGGTTGACGGACTACCTTTTGCAGGACTTAACGAACAAACCAAAGGATCTTGTAACTTTACTGTTGGTTATAATCAGAGAAACAATATCGACGCAGCTGAAAAAAAGGTTGGTCCTTTCTCTTGACATACATACATACATTTATATATGTTCTTGCCTCGATCTTCCCCGGAATATCCGAATTCTCTTATCCGAAACCTTTATTTCGAAGTTCTCAGACAACTTCACTATAATGTTGTTTCATTACGATGGTGTAACCACTGAATTGGACGAATTAGAGTGGCCGAAGCTGGCTATTCACGTGAGCATTCAAAAGCAGAGTAAATGGTTAGCATCTAGCTCGTTTTCTTCATATAATCTACATCAGTCTAGCTAATTTTATTCCATTTTGCTAACCCCTGTGGTGTTGAATCAAGGTGGTATGCGAAGCGGTTTTTGCACCCCAACATCGTTGCACCCTACGACTACATCTTTATATGGGATGAGGATCTTGGGGTCGAGAATTTCAATGCAGAGGAGTAATTTGTTAATCTCACTGTCTAGGTTCAAATAAAAACATTGATCGAGTAAGCCGCCACTGAACTTGTTTGATTCTCAGGTACATAAAACTTGTCCGAAGACATGGTTTAGAAATATCACATTCGATGTCCATAGTGCTACGTATACATGTGCAATGACAAGGAAGAGAGACGACACTGAAATTCACAGGTAAGAACCTCATATATGACTGCTTTCGCTGTTGTACACATATCCATATCCGACACTCACCCCGAAGTCCGAGCAACATAGGCTTCGATATATCCGATCAACAAGACCTTTTGCTTTTTGTTCCTGCAGGGATGTAAAGGAGAAACCTGGCTAGTATAACGATCCAAATTTGCCTCCGTGCTTATTGTACGAAGCATCATTTATAGTCAACATATTGCTTATTTTTCAATTATTTTGCTAATTGTCTCCGTGCTTATTGTATGAAGCATCATATATAGTCAACATATTGATTATTTCTCAATTATTTTGCTAATTGTTCTCGTCTCGGTACTAAGATTTGTCGAGATTATGGCTACCATCTTCTCTCGGGATGCATGGCGATGTGTTTGGCATATGATTCAGGTTGAGCAGCGAGCTGATTTCTTCCGTATGTTATCATTCCTCATCTTTTTCCATGATTCTGATATAGTTTCTCCTTCGATATTGCAGAATGACTTGGTTCATGGATGGGGTCTGGATTTCGCTCTCCGGAAATGCGTCGAGGTTAGTAGCAATCTTCTCATTCCTGGAATATTCGAACTCAAGTCCTTCGTTGATCATAAAACGTTGTCTGAATCAGCCATCTCATGAGAAAATGGGCGTGGTGGATGCTCAGTGGATTGTTCATCAAGGTGTGCCGTCACTGGGGAACCAGGTACATAAAAACTGTAAAAGCACTTGTGTTACTATCATATTGTTGTACTCTGTCCATATATGTGACGGACACGAATGTCAATCACCGATATTTCGAACGAAAACGAAGAATCAGAGCAACAAAAATCACTATTTCATATGCACATATATTTCAACGGATTCTTCCTACGTCTCGTACAGAACACGGAAAGGGGGATGTACCCAATACTCCGTTTTCTATCGTGCTCGCCGATTCCGTTTGAATCACCGATGATTCTTTCGACGAGAGTAATAAAAGCTCCAAATAACCTATGGCAGGTGAGAGAAAGGTGTGAGAAAGACTGGAGAATGTTCCAAGATAGGATGAACGCCGCGGAGAAAGCGTATGATGAAGCATGTGGATTAAGTTTTTCTAAGTTCACATATCATTGGTGGATATAATAGTACACAAATTCACAAATCTAAAACCAATATATTGTGTGTGCGTAAGATTTAGGGTTAATGAATCTCGGTATCATCAAATTTAGGGTTTATAGATATCAACGACGTTTGTACATACAAGGCTTCAGCTCTGGCCATTCAATTTCCCTACCTTCTGAGTTTTTCTTCTCCTATAAGGGAAAACATAAACAGATGTTATCTCAGATACCAATATATGTCAAACACGAATACTTCGATAAAAACGAAGGATCATAATCATGTATAGATATGTTTCGGACATATATATATATATATATCAAATAAAATACTTCAAGAAAAAAATGAAGAGTACGAGTAACATAATTTAATAAAAGGGAAACGAACCTTTTTCTTGAAGTATAATAAACCAAACATCTTATTCGAGAAATCCTGTACATATCGAAAATGAATTGGTTAAGAACAAAGGGTTTGCATTGAAGTAAATGAAAGAGTATTATAACCTTCAATTCTGAGGTAAATCCCATCTCACAAACAGCTCTTGTAAACAGGTTCGGATCCGCTCCACCGTTATTTGGGTCGAATCTGCTCTTTACCTCAGCTATCAAAAGCCAACCGCTTCAAAGAATCGAAATAAATCAGGTTATTAGCTAAAAACTCATCCCGAAAGGGCAATAACAAGCATTAAACAACATTAACAAACCTCGGCTTAAGAACTCTATATGCCTCCTGAAGATAATTAGCATAGTTAGTCCCCATCAATGAAAGGCAAAAAACAGAAACATCGACTGAGGAAGAATCGAGAGGTACCTGCAATCAAAACTCAAACACAAATCGGTTATTACTTCGAAAGCATCTGACAACTTGCGGAAGCTCAAACATTCGAGCACATTCCCACATGTATAGAGGCAGAGATTCCAAAATATTCTCTCCAATCCATGTATCATGTGCAATCAATCTGATAATGAAACCAAAAAAAGAACTTGGAATTTGATATTCGGTTTAAATTTTTGCGGCCAATTGTAGCACATAGTTTTTATAGAGATGGTTTTTAATTGATAGTAGTAATGCAGTATACATATGGTTATGGATGGACTGAAACTATGTAACAGATTCCAGTAAACACATATTGGATTCGGTCAACAACAGTGTTATAACAAGCTCGAAAAAGGGATGAATTGACATACATTTGACATATCACAAGCAACTACCAAAGGATCGTTTGAGACAAGATCAAACGAGAAAACTTTATTCTTCACATTTTTTGCAAGGCGTGCGTCACCTGAAACACAATCGAGCAGGAAGACAATGAACAAACAGTCAATGTAATGACAGTTCATGTTAAACATTAACAATGAACACGAGTTCAGTCAATTATCATTGTCACTACAAAGCAGCAAATCTGATTAAGCAGGTTCTCACCACAACCAAAATCAGCTACGATTAACGAAGAACTACGACCCTTCAGCCACTTTGTGATCATATTGACAGGCTGCTCAGGCCAATGTGACATTTGCTCCTGATATCCCGTATGGTACTGGCCAGATGGGTGAAATAGATAAGTTGAAATGCAGCTTCAATACAACACATTAACTGTATTTCTCGGACTTGAGTGAGAGTGTCAAATACTAGGTATGTGTTCTACATAGGTAGATTTAGCCTCTTTTTTACAAAAGCTTTTTCATGTATTAGGAAAGTTCTTGGACTTGTTAAATGTTAATTTGTTATATTCTCATACCCTTATCCGATACACATAGGAAAGGAGTGTCATACAGTGGTATTTAAAAAAATCGAGAAGTCGGAGCAGTATAGGAATAACAACTCGGCATCAATTACACCATGTACAAACATAACAATAAATTTAATGCAAACATCTACATTTGTTCCAACTCTTCCATTTTCTCCCAAAGCACCTTGTCGAAGAATAGATGGATGTGTATGGTAGCCTCTAAATACATAGAGTAGATATATAGAAAAGCTTAGAAAAAACTAAACATACTCATTCAGACAGGCATTGAAATCCGTATTCATATCCGAAACTCACTCAAGTCCGAGCTTAAATCATAGTTGAGCTGCCTAAGAATTCTGGAAGCTAAGGATTCAACTTTAGATGCAAATTTTTATCACAAGAAATTATAGAAAAGCCTAGTAAACTCGGGGAACATACTGAAAATCAGAGAAAACTAAAGAAAGTGTTATAATTTACATAGCTTACCATACTAAACAATTCTGGGTCTTCTTTGAAATAGTCCAGAGCTTCTTTTCCTCTAAGATAACCATAAAAAGGCTGACTTTAATAAGTTAAAATTTTAACAATGAACTCAACTTTGAAAAGACAAGATAAACCAGAAGCTTATACACAAACTTAAGAGAGAGAAAGAGATAAATACGTGCAAGTGTAAAGCTTTTCATTGATCATCCTAAAATGACCACCAGCCAACCTTGCTCTCGCCTGCAAAATCAAATTAATCTCACAAAAAAATCCAATTTCACATACATTTTATATGACATGTATATATATAGAAAGTAACCTTGTCAATAAAACTGCAGGAACTGGAAGAAGAAGAAGAAGAAGACTTGGGTGGATTTGAAGAAGCGGAAGAGTGATTAACATGGTTTTGGTGTTGATGGGTTTTTTTCTTATGTTTAATTGAGTGTTTTGGTTGCAAAGATTCTTCGATTCTTTGAGGTTTGTGGTGTTTTGCCCTTCTCTTCTTCCTGCTCTGTCCTTTCATGGTGTCCGGTCTGCTTCAACACCGCCTCCAAAAACCCTTGCTTTGTTGTTAGCCTTTTTTAAAAAAAAAATCGGATGTCTAATGTCATTGTTGGATGACTTATCAGTTGCTGATGCTCAAATTTCACTGCTGTAAGGCCCATCAAAAATAAATTATCCAAAAGAAGTTAATTTTTTTATTGAACAAAATTAAAAAATATAATCCTTAAATTATTTGAGAATGATTTTTTTTTAATATTTAAATTTTAAATTTATAAAAACAAATTTAAAATTTGTAAACTTTAAAAATAGTCATTAAATTATATATTTGTATCCTTCTTAATCTGTGTACTTATAATGAATTATTTATTCTTCCTGTCTGTGAAAATAGATAATATTGAACTACATTAAATCCTACCCCTTATATTTGAAATTTTCTTTATTGATATCGATTTGATTATTTTTTTTTCATTTACAAATTACTAACTGGAGAGATGGTATCACATGATATAAATACATGTATGAGATAGATAGATGAATGCAAAAGATAATGGCAACGACATAATCCCTCATCTCGATTCATTTGCCGATCATTATGCTTGGAGTTCAAGGGGAGTTACAACATATCGGAACTAATGGCTTATAGCTCGTTCTCACCGGCAAACGTTTAGAGCATTACAGCAGAGAATTCAGCGGAGGCGAAAACACTGTTTCTACGAAAAAAGAATGGTCACAAGAATTAAAAGAAGTCGATCTCTAGATAATTACCTGAAGGTTTCACATCTAAACCCGGAACTTTGTTATCGACGGGTGCTTTTGTCGTTTCTGTTCTGGAGGAGAAGTCCATCATGGCTTGCTTCGGCACTTCCGGTGGATTTGCGCATCGAATGAGTGCCCAATTCACGCTCTGAAAGAATGGGTGCTGTTTAACTTCGGTAGCCCCACGTCGATACGCAAGCCGATTCTGTGGTTCCTTAACGAGTAAACCTCTGATCAAGTCCCGAGCAGCGAAGCTCACGTTTGGATAATCCGGGAATCGCAATGGCTGGCCAACTATGTTAAAGAGAGTTGCCCGGTTCCCGGCCCCCTTGAATGGAGTTTTACCGAACAAAAGTTCGTAGAGAAAGATCCCGAACGTCCACCAATCTACAGCACTTCCATGGCCTTCACCTTTAATGATCTCTGGTGCCAAGTACTCGTGTGTGCCCACGAAGGACATTGATCGAGCATCGGTAGGTTCTGCTATGAGCTCAGGAAGAGGTCTCACTTGGTGGTTCGTTTCGATCTTTGCTTTGCTTTGCTTTTCTTTCTTCGGCTTGCTGGAAAAAATGCGTGGTCCAAAACATGCAGGTTGAATACAATCAGGCTGCATCACACAAGTTGGCTCGATGCATGCAGGCTGACTACAGTAAGTGGAATTTTTCGATTCCAAGGTTGAGTTCGAGGACTTGACGAGAGTAGGAGAGACGGCACATCTAAGAGAGAGATCGAAATCCGAAAGCATTATATGTCCATCTTCTCTCACCAAAACATTCTCCGGCTTAAGGTCTCTGTAGATGATCCCAAGCATGTGAAGATACTCCAAAGCAAGGAGAACTTCTGAAACGTAAAATCTGTGGAGCAAAGAAAATGTTCAATGCAAATGACAATAAATTAGAAGTAATTACTTGGTTCAATCTTTTGGCCTAATACACAGTTTGCCCCTCAAAGTATGCCCTTTTTCCCACTCTGCACCTTAGAAGTTTTTTTTTTTGGTTCAGTTTGCCCCTTCAAGTTTTCCTCCCTTACATTTTTTGGCCCAAGTTAACAGAAAAATTGGACCAATCAACTCATGCCCTGTGGCATCCTCCTCCTTCCATGGTAGAAGAAAATTTGAATCTGGGTTTAGAAGAACAAAAGTCTTTTTAATGTTTGTTAAGCAGGGGCAAAAAATGTAAGGAAGGAAAACTTTAAGAGGCAAACAGGACCCAAAAAAAAAAGCTTTAGGGTGCACAGTGGGAAAAAGGGTATACTTTGAGGGGCAAATTGTGTATTAGGCTTAATCCTTTTTTTCTGCAATCAGTCCTTATCAGACTACATTGTCACCCGATATGCTGAAGAACACAACTTATTTCAATCTGCAGATCTTATATGCTGCCTAAAATCTGAATGAACAAGACATCAATCAGGAACCTGAAATGAAATTGGAGAAGACATTGTCGACAAAACTCGACCAAATTTAAAATTTAGGCCTACAAACTTCAAGAACTGTCGAAAGATGATACTTAGATACAAGATTACAATCAGTACTGCATGCTTGCTAACTCTAGCTGCTGAACAAGAGATGACGGTAGATACAAGTTGATTTATGTTTCTAAAGAACTACAATACCGACAAAATGAGCTTTCTAGCGGCGTTACATGCTGCATATGATGGGGAAATGGAGCCATGGGTTGTCATAAAGAATCTTAAGTAAATCCAATAAAAAGAAGAAGAAAAATGCAATGATGCAGACTTGAGCATAAAGAGTAACTGATAATGAGAAGAAGATCAATAGCAAACCTGGCACCTTGCTCCGAAAAGTACTTTCCTGGTTGTCTTTGCCTGAGAGCGTGCAAGTCTCCTCCGGGGCAGAACTCCATGACCAAGCAAGAAAGCTTCTCAGTCTCAAAGTGCGTATACAAAGTAGGTAGGAAGGGATGATCTAGAGATTGGAGAATCTCTCTCTCTGTCTGAGCCCGGAGAAGCTTCTTACGACTTGCCAAAAGAGCTTTATCCATAACTTTCATGGCAAAATAAGTTTTAGTGCCGGTCAATTCCGATAGATAAACGCTGCCTATATCCCCACATCCAAGTCTCCTTAGCACCCTAAAGTGCTTAAAGTCCAAGTCCCCCTTCCGATATCTAACAGCTTGAATTGCTTCCCATCTTATATCATTTGCTTTGTGAGGCTTGTAGATGGCACTGCTCAGACAACTAGAACTGCTCTCGTCACTAACATCACTTCCAGTGCTCCCTCGATAAATGCTCGTCTTCCTACTCTCAACTATATCACATGAATTACTCACTTCACCGCTCTCACTGGACTTGTCAACGCTAGAAGCTGCACATTCACTAACTTCTGCGTCAGTAAAACTTTGTTTGGCTTCTGTGTACTGTGTACCAGTGCACACACTATGCGAAGAATTTGAGCAAAAGTTCAGTTCTGGCTGAGTTCCAGTATGGTTGGTTAACTGCATAATACCTCCTCTGCATGAACTTGGTACACTTTTTTCAGGTTCCAGTGAACCACTTGAATTCAAACTCTTATGACCATCAACTGGATGTTTGAAGCTACTAGATTTACTTTCCACTGCCAACGCCTTCATCTGGCTCAAAATAAGAACCTCTTCCTTTCCCACCGATTCGGATTTCCCCTTACTCAGTTTTTCCACATTAGGCAATTCTTCATGCTGCAAGTTGTCATAGGCTGTTTTGTATGAATGCTTTTGATAGCCTGTAGAACCATTTGGATGTCGAATAATCCTTATGCCATTATTAAGAGTGGATCCATGTGATGTAGGAGACGACCCTTCATTTCCAGATGGTTTCGGAGACGGAGGCCGAGATGACAGCCTTGTTATCCCGGATGTTGAAGCCGGGTCACCTCTATCTATACCGGAACCATGATTTTGACTATTTGATGAAGAAATAACAAGTGATTCCATTGAATAATTCAAAATGAAAACCTATCACTGCCAAACCGAAGTCCAATTTAGCCAAGTAAAACCCCTTTCCTCTAAGATAAATCCATTAATTAGAGAATCTTCAAAATTAAATGTCCCTAAAACACCAGATTCGACAGTTACAAAATACAAATAATAACTCCAATACTAAGCTGTTCAAACATAGAAATGGAACTTTAGCACTATTAAAGGAAATACCAAAGCTTATGGAGATAGATGTCAATAGCTGACCCTTAAAACAAAATAATAAACTGCAATTAACAATCAAATGAATGCAAAATCTCAGCCCTTGAAAACACACACACATATTCATAATTTCAAATTTCTCAAAAACCCAAAAAAAATATACTCTTTTTCCTTTCCTTTTTGAGAGTGAAGATCCAAACTTTGATTAGGAAAATGCATGACCAAGAATTAATAAAAATAAATAAATTCAAACTAAGGAGCAAACAAGCAAAAAGGCTTAAAAGAGGCGGAAAACAAGTTACCTGATCATAGAAAAGAGAAAACAATGCCGTAGAGCTTGAAATTACTCATGAAATGAAAACCCTAGAAAGGGAAAAACAAAATGCTGTTTGTTTGAAGAGAAAAGTGAGACAGCTTTGATTTTCTGGACTTGTTTGTGTTCCTTCTTCTCCTGAGAAGCTCTTCCAGAACCGATCCAAACAAGAAAAAGGAAGAAAACAGTAATGATAATAGTTTATTTTTCTTCTTTTCTTGGTGATTGAATGAAGAAATAAAAGTTGGAGGTGCGTAATTTTTCGTCGTTTTCTTGAAAGAAGAGTAAAGGGAAAAAGTGGAGGAAAAACAAAGGTAATTTGACGAGCAAAGCTTACACCATGTCTTGTCTTCGGTGAGCGGAGAAAAATTCAACTCGATTCGATTGTCTTCGGTGAGTAGAATAAAATTTAACTCAATTTAAATTAATTTAGAGTTGTAATTTCATAAATTTAATTTAAAAAAATTTCAAGTTCAATTCTAGTTGTAAAATACAACTAGAATAACTCGAATTTTTTAATAATTAGTGGATTTTCAAGTTTAAGTCGAATCATTAAACTTTGTATGATATACGTATATTACATATGAAAAATATATGAAAAAAATATATTTTTATTATATATGTTTATAGAAATTCACTTAAATTAGAATCAAATAATATTATAATATTATATATATTTACAATTAAATTTAAACAGAAACTCGAAAAATCAACTCGACTCGAATTTTATAAACTTAACTCAACTCAAAAAAAGTTTAAATCAAGTTCGAGTTATAAAATAGAATTCGTTAACTCAAATAACTCGACTCTACTCAATCGAACGCTCACCCCTGATCTTTAGATTGTTTCCTCTCAACTATGAAGGATCAAGCAAAT